TGCTGCTGTTAGGTGGAGAGTGGAAACACACACAGTTGTGCAGTACAGTAGAGCAAGAACTGAGACTGTGGCTGTGTGCACATTGTAGCTTTAAATCGCATTTGAAGCACATTCGTTTCCTCAGAGAATTGTGAGCGTGTCAGTTTCAACAGCTTACAGTGAGGTATGAGTGAAGCGGTGCCAGGAGTATTCGTGGGACTGCGCCCGACTCATTTCAGATCAGCTTCTGGGGTGGGCAGGTGAGGGGGACTTGCCTTCGCCTGCATTGGTTGGAGGAAAGGGGAAACATTAAAACCAGGAGGAGTGCATCTGGCAGTTGGTGGGTGACGTGCATTAGTTGAGGAACAAAATGCACGTGTGGTTCTGGGCTGAGACCGGAGAGAGGTGTGACCAGTGTGGACCTGGTGCACCTCCACTCCCATTCCAACAGTTCATTCCTCTGCTGTGGATAAATGTGGGAAAATAATAATAGTGATAAAAGTACTGAGAGAGGCAACAAGCAGGAGGCGCCTGGTTTAGTACTTAGAGGCTAGGAGTGTATCTTCCATGATTCCTCCCCCCGCCCTTCTACCATCACCATGTCCCCTAAAAGAGCCTTGTCGGGAAGGCTTGAGCTTGGGACAGGGGGTGGCGCCATCGGCTGGCGCCGTTTAGCTGTTCTGTCTGGTCCCCTGCTTCTCTCCTGCTGGACCCCAGCAGCTTACCAGTGCTGTGTGCCCTCAGCTTGCACCCACGCAAATAATAGTTGCTGTGTTTGGTGTGGTGGAGCTAAGAGAGAAAGCTGGAGGGGGGCGGGGAGAGAAGCAGAAAACCTGGAGTCAGAGCCTGTGCTGAGTTGGGACTATGGGCTGCCCAAAAAAAAGCATTTATTTTGATAGCAGCTCTTGGCCCAAGATGCTGCTTCAGCGAGAAGGTTCTGTTTATAGAAAGGGATTTTGCTCTGGTGCAGGTTACGCAAAGGCCAGGCTATCCTGCAGGAGACAAAACAAGTCTGTAAGGGCAAATGTGGGGACTCAGGTTAAACATGCTGCCAAGGGAGTTTGGTCTCTACGAAAAAAGAAGAGAAAAAGAGCCACCGTTTGTTTTTGTTATAATAGAGCATGTTTGAAATCACTTATCATGAGTTACATACCCCCTCCATTCATTTTGACCACCCTGTAGTACTCACAGCTCAAGAGTGGGAAAGAGGAGGTTTATTTCTACTCTGGGACGTAGGAAGATACCTGATATTGAAGTCAGACCACTGGCCCATGTGGCTTAGGGTTGTCTCCTCTGATTGGCAGTGGCTTTCTAGAGTTTCAGAGAGGGAATCTTTTCTGGCCTTGTTTGAAAATGCCAGGAGTCAAACCTGGGACCTTCTGCATGCAAGGCAGGCGCTCTGCTCCTGAGCTCTGACCCTTCCCTGATGGGGCAGGGGAGAGCTGCACTCTTGGTTCTGTGATTGTGAATTAGGAATTGGGGGTGCAAGCTCAAATATCCTTTTATGCCAGGGCTGGGAACCTCCAGCCCATGGGACAATTTTGGCCCACCAGGGGGTCCAAGTTAGCCCAGGAGGCCTGTTCCTGCAAACCATGCTCATCTGTTAAACAGCAGGTGTCAATGGGGGTTCATTCACACTTCCAAGCTTTCTAAGTCTCAGCGCTTTCACCCATGCCCTGCTCCCTTCCTAGGAAAACCCCGCTCTTTCGTGCTAAATCGGAGCAAACGTCAATCCAGAGAAAACCCAAATTGTCATTTGCTCTGATTGAACACTAAAGAGCAGTTTTCTCCAGGTGAGGCGGGGTGGGGGAAGTAGTGGGAGAAGAGGAAGTGTTGATAAACCCTGAGTGATGTCAGCTGATGGACCAGGAGGCAAGGTTAAATCCTGCTAGGTTCTACTTTGCCAGCACATTCCCCGTGCAAAACACGCTGGCAAAGCAGACACTTGCAGCCAGCAGATTGAATTCTCTGCTCACCAGCTGAGAGTAGACCCCCCTCCCCACATTTCTGTTACTTTACTGCGCATTCATTCTGATTCATTTGTGGGGCACTTTCATCCTGCATTCTTCTTGATTTCTGGGTTGTTCATACATCTTCCAATTAATTTGTTTATTCATCCCACACATTTCAGTGCCTTTCCCTGTCACTTTCCTAACTGCAAAAAGTCTGGGTTTTAAAAACTGGATTTGTTAGGATCATTGAATTGTAGAGTTGGAACGGACCCCGAGGGTCATCTAGTCCAACCCCCTGCAGTGCAGGAATCTCACCTAAATCATACATGACCGATGGCCATTGAACTTCTGCTTAAAAACCTTCAAGGAAGGAGAGTCCACAACCTCCTGGGGGAGACCGTTCCACTGTCAAACAGCTCTTACTGTCAGAAAGTTCTTCCTGATGTTTAGCCAGAATCTCCTTTCCTGCAACTTGAAGTCACTGGTTCGAGTCCTACTCTCCAGTGCAGGAGAAAACAAGTTTGCTCCATCTTCCATGTGACAGCCCTCAAGATATTTGAAGATGGCTATCATATCTCCTCTCAGAAGAGTGAGCATTAACCCCCAAATCTTCCTTTCTAAGAAGTGGGATTTGGCAGCCAGCTAGTGAGGAGTTGTGCTTTTCCAGGGATGGTCAATGTGGTGCCCTTCAGGTACTTTTGGACTATGACTACTCCCAGCAGCCATAGCCAGTGTTCAGGGCTGATGCTAGCGCAGCAGAGTAGTTTAATCCACCTTAGGTGCACAAACCTGAGTTTCTCAGCATGCGCTTGCATCCATCCAAGGTGCGGGAGCCTTGCACACCTTTTCACATGGCCATCCTGCAGGGAGCTTTTGGTTGTGCCACCTCCACAGGTGAGTGGACCTCAGCAGGTGCCTAGCTTTGCCACCCCCTGATGCCAGTTCTGATTTGAAGTAAGTGAAAGTACATTCTTGGACAGAGTTGCTTCCTATTATTTTATAGCATGGTTATGTGCATATTTTGGAAAATGGGATCATTTCTTACAAGAATTTAGTTGCAAACTGCTCCCCAAAATGCCACCAGCTCTCCCAGCTCACTGAGCCCGGTTACCTCTTCAGCTTCTGACACCTTCTCCCCCCAGTCTCTCTCCCTCCCCCCAGTCTCATTGTCCCACCACCACTCCCTGGCCTTGGTGATTCTGCAGCTGGTCCCTTCCACCATTCCTCTGCGTCCAACCAGTCTGTGACACACATACTTGCATGATGCTGAGACACCCCATGTCTCCACCAATGTCTCCCAATGTGTACCATTAAGGGGAGGGCTTCCTCCTTGATTGCCCCCAGCAGCAACAAGCATTTCCCAACCATGAACTGCTTCAGCAGCTGCCACTGCCTCCAGCCCAGCACTCTGTCTGCTGCATTGGTTTGCCAGGTGTCCCAAAGAAGTTCGTGAGCACAGAAGGTCCCTGTCTGAGGCCATGCCCAGGACCCAACAATCTTCTGCATGCTACCTCTGCTCTTGCCTGCTCCTATCTTAACACCAGTCATTGATGAATCTACATTCCTTGACTTTATCTCATCCTTTGGAAAAGCCACGTGCTAGGCCTTATTGCAACATCCTATAGCGATGGATTCCATGGGTTAATTGCATATTGTGAAGGAATACTTCCTTTGGTCTGTCCAGCTGACCTCTACTGAGAGCTAGTACAGGGCAGATGTGCAGAGAGGATGATGGACTTGGACTGGGTGGGGTGACTTGGGCTGAAATCTCTGCTCACTGGGTGTCCTTGGGCAAACCTCTGTCCCTCCAAGACACTTCACAGGTTAGTTGGGGAGATAAAATGGAACAGTATGTTCTACGTATGTTCTTGTAGGAAGGGCAGGATGCAAACATGATACATACATAAAATACTGCTAATCGCTTCAGTTGGATGACGCTGAATTTGCAGAGAGAATAATCTCTCTCCATTCATGACCCGTGATTATACTCTGTCAAGACCTACCTAGAAGTGACATGAGAGATCCCATCCTTGTTGGTTCTTCTATTTTGCATGAATGCTGCTATGTGGGTTCTTGGTTTGGATCTGAGCTGCGGTGTTCATGGAGTGTATCTTGGAGGTTCAAAGAGACTTGGGCTACTTTCAGCTTTTGAGGCCCCAAGGTATAACAAAAAAATTAAAATGACGACACACAAAAACAAGCAGAGGCATTTTAAATTATTTAATATGACAAAAATCTGCATCAGTACCCAGAATTGGGAGGGGGCAGATGGATTCAACTAGCCTGTTCCATGAATGGAATCCAGAGCAAGGTGCAATGGGACTTCCCTCTCTCATCCCCCCACCTGCACTCTGCACCTCACCAAATCTGCCCTGGAGGGTTGGGAGAACCCCTGAGGATCAATCTCCTTAGTGCTACGTTGCAGCCCACCCCAGGTCTTTCCCCTAACCACCTCTTATGTGCTTAAACTTGCAGGCCACATTTTCGTCTGGTGCACATAAAAACAAGTTGCAAAACTTATCAGATGCCAAAAAATAAACAAGTGTCTACGTCTGAGACCCCCTTTGAGCTTGTGGCTCAGGCCAAATCCCTCTGCCCACAAGTTAAGTGGCCAGGGCGTGACAGTTTTCCCAATGCTGTTTCCTTGATTTCAATCCCTGCTTTCCAAAACTACTTGTAGCCAAAGGGGTAGGGAAGTCAGGGACGGTCTGGTGCCTAGCTTTGCCCCTCTTCACGGCTAATAGCAGCTTCAAGTAATGACTTAGATTTCGTTTAGGTGTATGGTATGAAATTATTACTATTTTTTGATACTCATTTCTTGATCCTCCGTTGTATGAAGGGACATAGTTTTCAAACGGGCCTTGGCTTGTTTTGTTTTTTCTTCTCTTTCACCCCCCACCCCCCACTAAAACAGACAGACAGACAAACAAACAACCCATGGTCCACTTAGGAACAGGAGCTCATGCTGGAAAACCAAGGGAAATGGAAAGATAACAAAGGACAGTTTACTATATTGTTCCAACTAGGGAAGCGTCTGGTAATCAGGGATGTCTAAGGGGGTGGGAAAGCCGTCCTCATGCATGACTCAGAGGGCACCTAGAGCCTTGGTGCCCTGCACCTGACCCTTAGCACCCTGAGCTTCCGCCCCCTTCCTGCCCCGACCCACATTATGCTTCCCAGAGGGAGGAGAATCCCAGCTCCCCAAGCCTTGCGATTGGCCAGAGAAGTCAAGCCCAGCCAGGGATAAAAGGTGACTGTGAGCATCCTGCCTGCTTGCCTGCAGCCCATGTCAACATGAGCAACCTGGCCTTGTACCGTGGCATCTACACTGAGGAGCGCTTCCAGCAGCTTTATGGGACGCCCCCAGAGCCAGAGGGCAGCCTGGCAGGGACGCTGAAGGGCAAGCTGGCCCAGGGGTGCCGCTGCTCCAGGGCTGCAGCCTTGCACTTGCTCCGAAGCAGGCTTCCCATTGCAAGCTGGCTGCCCAAGTACCAGCCTAGGAAGTGGCTCCTGGGGGACGTGGTGGCAGGGCTGACCGTGGGCATTGTGCACATCCCACAAGGTGAGTTTGTGTGTGAGAGAGCATGTGTAGGGAACGCTGCTGAACTGAATGTCAGTGGTGATCCTGGAAGACATAGCACAGCAGCCAGAGGCTGAAGGGAAGCCTCTTCCTTTTCTGCACAGAGGTTTGTTGCAGAACATACGGCGGTGGTGGGCATTCTTCCCTTCCAGAAGTATCCAAGGAGATGGGGCAGTGGTAGAGATGAGACGCTTTGGAAGGGGGCAAACCTGGGCACCATCATCCTTTCTCCTTTCTCTATCATCTCCCCTTCCCCATGAAAGTCTCCAAGGATTTCTGATCTTTACTGGTGTGGATCCTCCTCCTCCTTCTCCTCCTCTCAAGTCCTACCTAATTTCTTCTCCTCACCTGGAAGATCTTCAAAGATCCTTCACCCTGGAGGTTCTGCTTGCTGACTTGATGCCCCTGCTCTCTATGCAACTGTTAAGCATTTCTGTTTCCCAAGCCACCCCTAAACCTTCCAGGGGATTTACTCTCAGTGCTCCTTATGCTTTACTCTCAGTCTCCCTTATATTTTTGTCTGCCCCCTTGCACACACACCACAAGAGTACTGACCTCTTAGCCACTTCCTCAAGCCCTCTCCCCGGTTCACATACTTTTAAAAAAATCTGTGACCAGCTTTGCATCTTCCTTGTTTGAACAAGTCTTTTGTTTTCTGGTTTTAGTCTGGGATTTCTAAGGCTGCGCAGTCTGTGCACACTTACCTGGGGAGTGAGCCCCATCCATTGGAGCTGGCTCTGAAGTAAACACGCAAGGGTGGGGGACTGGCAGCCTGTCTTGCTTCAGGAGCTGTTTCTCACTAATCTCTGAGGCTGTGTGGTGGAATGGCAGGGGGGTGGGAGTCAACTCCTGGATGTCTTTCCGCCCTGGAGGCCCCAGGTTGGACTCGTGCCCTGCCTGTCCTTGTTAAGGTGGCGCTTCCCTTTCCTCCAGCGGCAGCCCAGGCGTAAGCAACTGGGGTTAATGGAGCGTGCATCAAGGGGTTTCTGGTCAGGGCTGTTCCTCCTCCAGATTTTGACAGTAGAAAAGAAGGAAGGTACAAAGAGCATTGGAGGGAATGATTTCAAAAATGCACGTAGATTTGTTGGACAGCCTATTTTCTTGCTGAAAAGTGGCATTTTCAAAATTCTATTTCTTCTAAAAATTAATTCCGAGGGGTGGCTGTGTTTGTGTCAAGACCCTGACAACAAAACAGTCACGTGTCACTTTAAAGACTTGGCAGATTTATTGTACAGTAGTGCAAAGCTTTTGTGGATTGGAGCCCAGCTCATCAGAGGGATGACATGCTGGCATGCTTGTCACTCATGCTGCTGACTAGGAAAGTGAATCCTAGTGCATGAACCCTATTGAGCATTCATCCCGATTGAGCATTCATCCCGATTGAGCATTCATCCCGATTTGTTTGCAAGGGGGTCAGATGATGTTGTGCCACAGCAAGGGTTTTCACACACTTTCCAGTTGTTCCTTATTGCAAAAAGTCTGTTCCTTTGGGGGAGTGGGCTTGTTGCACAAAATTTCCTAATCAACTGTAATTGTGCAGCCTGAGTGGCATTCCCCCCAGAATTCCTAATTTCATAAATGCTCTCGTGGCAGTGTGAGATATGGGATTGTTTCTGGACTGGATTTTCAGGTGGGATACAATCACATGCTAGCAAATTCAGGTTGCACAGGTATACTTGGTTGGTGAGAAAATACACTGGAAACAAATGAGAATGGATGCTGATGTCATCTAATCTCCTGCAGACAAATCAGCATAAAAGCTCAGTAAACAGACCACCTGAAAGGGTGCATTCCCATATCCTTCCTGCAAAATACTGACAGTCTGGAGGTGCTCTGAGAGGGAGGGTTGGGTTTACATGTTAGTGAGGCAGACACACTTCACGTGTGCTCAAAGAGAGCTGGACTCTGGGTTCCAACAAAACCCTGAGAGGGCCCCTGACCCTTTCAAGGATACCATCCCACTAATTCTGGGGTAGATCCTACATTACTTGAATAGCATCATTACCACTTCCATGTGGCTACTGAGCGGAGGAGCAGGAACATATGGCACGATCCCTTCCCATTGTCAGTTCTAGTGGCTCTTAGGCACCAGTGACATTGTCAGTCCTTCGGCAGGGGAAGCGGGGCCTACCAGTTACAGGTTGTGCTTCCGAAAGTTAGAACTCTTGTCCCAGCCGCTTGTTTACACTTGGCCTCCCAGCCGGTGGGGATTTTGTATAGCTCGTTCTGTTTGTTCTTCCTGCAGGAATGGCCTTTGCTCTGCTCACCTCAGTAGCACCAGTCTATGGGCTCTACACTTCATTCTTCCCTGCCCTGCTGTACATGCTGTTTGGTACGGGGCGCCATGTGTCCACAGGTAAGTGTGCTGCATGGCGGAGTCAGGATGCAGTCGCCATAGACGGGCACCTGGGGCACTGCTCTTGGGCTCCATGACTTAACGTCCTCCGGGCAGATCTATTATTATTATTATTATTGTGATTTATTTATATAATTTATGAGCCCTGACCCTATGAACTATCTTGAAGTGATTTCACAATACAGTATATATATATATATATATATATATATATATCCATACAGTAAAAAGTTAAAGCAATTGCATATATAAAAGCAAATTGAAACCTAGTTCAGATAACATTTGAGATAAAGCCTTGTTGAAAGAGGAAAGGCAGACACAGAAAAGGCAACTAAGATTACAGTTATATCTGCACCAGTATACTACTACTGATACTACTATAATGGATTATATACAAAATTTAGTCATACTCAGAGTAGACCCATTCAAATTAATGGGCACAGCTAAACTAGGCCCATTCATTCCAATGGGTCTGCTCTGAGTAGAACTTTGCTAAATATAATTAAATGTGCTTCAGATATGGCACCTTTTTAAAGAAGTGGCTAAGCCAAATAAGGAGAGGAAGAAGGCTAAGGACAGGATAACTTGAGGAAATAATTTCTGCCCTGTCTGATTTCTCTCTCTGTATGAAAATGTGCATCTGTGCGCTATAATATATTACACACATAACAAACCCAAACATGCCGGTTTCCAAGATCCTGTCACACAATGCAGTGGTTATGCAGATGAAGAGAGGGCCAGCCCTGCTTCTTAACCAACTGGGGCTGCCAGGGTAGGTTTAGGCCCACCAGGGTGGCATCCCTGAAGGCAACGTTTTACTGTCTCCGCTCCAGTATAAGTGAATGGTCACTATTCATTTTTGCAAAGGAAAATAATGTGCTGCCTTTGGAGATCTTGTGGTGGTGAGGACAAAACTTCACCCTTGATTCTTGGACCAGTCCTCTCACACATCAATCCTGTAGAGCAGCTTTCATCAACTTGCCCTCCGGATATACAATTCCTTTTCATCACACATGCACACACTTCCAGGCTACCTGTTATGATAGTGGCTGCATTGCTTGTTCATAATTTAAAATTTAAATTTAAATTATTTAAATTGGGTACATTTATAAATAATGAATTTCAAATGTTTGATATATACCCATATTTTTCCGTCTATAAGATGCCCCTATGTATAAGATGCCCCTTATTTTGGGGGACTCGGATTTAAGAAAATGGGGGGGATCTATAAGTATAAGACACTCCCAAATTTTGGACACTGTTTTTTAGGGAAAAAACCTAGTCTTATACATGGGAAAAAACGGTATATTCTGCAACATTTGAAATGTAAGAATGCCCCTCAAGCTGTGTTTGCTTTTAAAGCTCACATACTGGTGCATTGGACTGAAAATTGAGTTTACTAGCATGCCACGTGGGTGTGGGGGAGAGAGAGAGATCCTTCCACTGCCATAAAGCTCACTGTGAGGTCTTTGTCATTGTTTGTCAGCCTATTCTGTTCCACCCATCCAAGACCCGTAGGCTGCAAATGGAGATTTTTCAGCTTTCTGAATGTAGAGAGAGATCCAGTGTATTGTTCAGGCGGAAAGTAGGAATTGCTGCCACCAGAATCATGAATGAATGTCAGTCACAATGCCATGTAACCGAGGTCGCTATTTTTGGGTGGGATTCCGTTACATACTGGCAGTTATAACTGATTTGGAAGTACAGTGGTGCCCCGCAAGACGAATGCCTCGCAAGACGAAAAACTCGCTAGACGAAAGGGTTTTCCGTTTTTTGAGTCGTTCCGCAAGACGAATTTCCCTATGGGCTTGCTTCGCAAGACGAAACGTCTTGCGAGTTCCTGCGAGTTTGTTTCCTTTTTCTTAAAGCCGCTAAGCCGTTAATAGCCGCTAAGCCGCTAAGCCGTTAATAGCCGCTAAGCCGCTAAGCCATTAATAGCCGCTAAGCCGCTAATAGCTGCTAAGCCGCTAATAGCCGTGCTTCACAAGACGAAAAAAACCGCAAGACTAAGAGACTCGCGGAACGGATTAATTTCGTCTTGCGAGGCACCACTGTACTGTATATTTGCAACAAACTTGCTTCCACAAAAGAACAGGCAATGGGAAATGTACTGCGATAACACTTGCTTTGACGCAATGGCATCTAACTGCCCCGTGAACAAATCAGAATGAATGCTCACTAAATAGCCAATGTTATCCAGCTTCCCTGCAAACAAATCAGAATGAATGCTGAATAAACAGGAGACCTGGAAGCACCCCCAGTATACTGTTGAGGGGGAAATAGGAATGGGTGGTACTGAGTGCCATGGTGTCATTGTTGCCCAGGATGGGACATGCAGAGATTTCATTCGTTCCTCTCTTCCTGCTCTCCCAAGGCACCTTTGCTGTGGTCAGTCTGATGACGGGCTCCGTGGTGGAGCGCTTGGTTCCTGAGCCCCTGCAGTCCAATGGCACCATCCCTGCAGAAGCAGCTTTGCTGGAGGCGCAGCGCATTGGTGTGGCGGCCGCTATGGCCTTCCTTGTAGGGCTGCTCATGGTGAGTCAAAGGGAGACGCTGGGGCAAAGGGGCTCCTTTGGGAAGGCTCAGCACATCACAAAGGGGCCAGAGCCTTGGAACAGTGCTATGGCTGTCGTCCTGGGAGGATTCTTGGGCTGCCCTTGGCTAATAAGAAGGGCTGATAAACTAGGGGTTTATGAACATGGAGGCTTCGGTCTTAGCTATAGAACCATAGAATTGTAGAGGTGGAAGGGACCTCGAGGGTCATCCAGCCCAACCCCCTGCAATGCAGGAACCCTTTGCCCACCGCGGGTCTCAAACCCGCGACCCTGAGATTAAGAGTCACCTGCTCTCCTGACTGAGCTATCCCAGCTCTCTTGGCTAATAGCTATTCTTATATCTCCCCTCCAGCAAGCTCACTTGACCCCCCCCCACCAAAACCCTTTAAAATCCTTTTTAAAAATCCAGTATTTGTCTAATCCCTTTGAAGAGCCATCTGCTCTAAAGTCCATCACCACCTCTTGTGGCAATGAATTCCATGCTAATTGTTTACTGTGCTGAGAACAATTTTCTTTTGTCTGTGTTGTGCTCCTGATGGCACCGTGTTATATGGCCTCTGGAAAGCTTCCTTGGCAGCTCCTCTGGCTTTTGAGATTTTGGTAGGCCTAGCCCACACATTTTCTGGCATACTTCCACAATGATAAGGACTAGAAACTTGCTTTCTTAAAAGAATGAAAGCTGAGGAGGCTCGCTTCTGCACCCAGCACCACAATCTGTGTTTTTTCTGCCTGTCTCAGCAAACACACAATTCACGCAGCTACTGCTGCCACCTTCCCCTCTTCCCCAGACAGGGATGTTTACGCTTCACCTGGGCTTCCTTTCCACCTACCTCTCGGAGCCTGTCGTCAAGGCCTTTACCTGTGGTGCTGCTTTGCACGTGGTGGTGTCTCAGCTCCAGAGCCTCCTGGGCTTGCCATTACCACGTCCCGCTGGCTGCTTCGCCATCTTCAAGGTATGTGGATCTACATTCAGGGGGTGGGGTGTGGGGTGCAGACGTCTCTGCTTATGAAGCCACCAGAAATGTAAATGCAGGAATTCTCATTCCTAGACACCTGCTCCTGGATGCAGTCCATAAGATATTTTGTTCCTCTGAGCTAATATGAGTGTCCTTGTTTTCTTCACTGCTTCTCTCTCTCACTCCATGGTGCTTTCACCAGTTTGAGTGGGGCAAAGCGGGCGCTGCCCCACCAACCTCAGCTTGGCTTCAGCCAGCCCCTCACTTACCTGCCTTCTTGCAACCATTCTAGAGTGTGTCACTGGCTGCCAGTTTAGTTCCAGTGCTGCCCTTGCAGAGGGAGGAGAAGACTGGGGACAAAGCTAGAATTAGTTGACTTATGGTTGGCCACTGTGAGGACAGAATGCTGGACTAGAGGGACAATTGGTCTCATGAGGTGACCAGGCAGCAGATCCCAATATAGATATTTATTCCCCCCTTTTTCTGATGTAGATCTTCCCTCACCTCTTCTTCCCTGGTGGGGAGACAGACACTGTTTCGTGGTTCACCTCAGGGGCCAAAATATCTTGGGCCAGCCCTGAATTTGACCTACATTCTTATGGCTTTGTCACTGTCTGTTGCTCCACCTCCTGTTGGTCTTCCTGCCACTGGCCCTGCCAATTCCACCGCACACCGGCCACCCCCTGGTTTGCTGAAACAGGCTGCCGATGAGTTTTGATAGCTGCTAGAAGGTTCCAATAAGCCTAGCTGCTTCCTCCTCCCAGGCTGCTAAAAGCATTCCAGTCCAGCCCTCGGACGGAAGACCTGGCTGCCCTTTGTGAATGCCACGCCAGATGTCCGTGTTTCTGCATTTCCCCCTAGACACTGGCATCTGTTGCGGAAGCCTTGCCCTTAACCAACACAGCGGAACTGCTCATCTCCGGCTTCTGCTTGGCTGTGTTGGTGCCCATCAAAGAGATCAACAACCGCTACCGGAGTCGGCTGTGGGTCCCCATCCCGGGAGAGATCATCATGGTACGTTTGAAGTCTTCTCAAGGCTGTCTTTTGTCATTCAGACAGCTGGTGACTCCCTGCAAAGGAAAGTCACATTTTAACACTTACAAAGAATGTAAATTCAGCTAATTTGCTCATACTTCCTATCCCCCCCCACTCCAGATCTTTTTATTTTAACAGTGTTCCAAGATACAAAAAAACAACAAAAAACCCCAAAATGTAGTATCTAAAGAACTCATCACTTTCTTACCAACTGTAGCAAGGCGGTCCATTGTCCAACCCTGGAAATATTTTGATAACTATACAATTGTATAGGTTGTGTGCAGCACAAACACAATTGCAACACAAAATGTGTGAAACACTGCAGTTTCAGTACAAATAACATTTAGTTTTAAATTAAGCTCAGCCACTTGCTTCCAGGTCATTCCCCAAGAGCCCCTGATTCTTCATCGTCGGCCATCGGTCCTTGATCGCCACAGGCGTCTGGTTCTTCAAGGGGAATGCCTTGCAGATGGCTTTCCACCTCCCTTCCCCAAACCTCTTCACACCTTCCTTAATCCACTGAGACTCCTCTGAAGTCCAGATCTTCTTTTTAGAACCCAAGAGGGAAGTGCTGCTGCTGCTGCTGCTGCTTTTTTCCTTCGATTCCTTTGTGTATTTCTTCTTCCAAGTCTGAGGTCATCAAAAGATTTGGATGGGTGGGTAGAGCAGGGATGAAGAGTGGTGAAGAATAAAGTGTAGATGAGGCAAGGAAAGGCATGGATGCTGAAGATGGGGGGGGAGAGATATAATTGGGGGGGGGCAGGAGCTGAGCAGGGCACTGTGGATGAAGGGCTAAATTAGATCTGTCATTAAATGCATATTTTAATTCAACATGCACATTTTTTAAAAGAAAATACAAATAGCAGTCAATGGAAGAGGTGATTGATAATTATTCAGATTGTAGCCAGTGAGTTCAAATCTTTCATTCTATTCTGTGGTGCTGAAGAAAATACTTCTTCATAGTGATTATATGCTTTGGGAGAAAATTTCCATCGGGACCACAGCAGAAGAGGATAGGCTTAAACAGGCCTGCCCCACCTGCTGCAGTCCATGGTAATTATCCCCACCCCAGCTGTAGATATTTGAATTTAAGCAAACAAAGCAAAATATGTAGGAAGATGCTCTTTAGCATCCTGTTTAGTTTTGCCCTAATTCTGTGGCCCTTGGAATGACTGTTCAGAATCATTTTTATACTTTTGGTGGTCATTGCCAGTGTATTCAAAAGCTTTTTTCACAGCCATGAGGGCTAAAAACTTGGTTTTTAATTGACAGACAGAGGAGATTTTCACAATGCATCGTTCTGTCGGACAGTAGTTGTCTTGCAATAAATAAGGAACCACACAGAGTCAAAATGCAGAGTCAAAGATTCACAGCAAAGGCAGAAAACTTTACTGAGGCAAACAAACAAACTTTATTAAAGCACTGTGCAAGCGAAAGTGAGCAAAGTAAGAGAGAGAGCGCAGCAGGTATTTATCTCTCCTGGCTCAGCGTAACCTTTACGTAGTCAAAACAATATTTGCATAAGAAGTGAACCTGCTAGAATTTTCCAGCACTTTCCTGCTTCTGCTCTCAAAGACCTTAGTCGCTATGACACATTCTGATATTAAATACGGTACCATGTTACTTGCTTGTGCAACACATGTGAGTTACAAAATATGCAAAACCTGGGCCAATGTAGTTCAGTCAAATAGCTAAAAAGGGATTTCAGCATACATGTTCCAAACTGGCCTGACCTCCTGTTTTCTTACCTGTACCAGGATAATAATCCCAAGACTAGTCCTGCTCCGCTTGGTATAGAAAATCCCCCCTTGCTAATTCACTCAGACCTTAATTCTTGCAATATTTGGAGACTTTTGACCAACGTGAGATGTCCCTTCACAGTGAAGTATATCTGAAATACATGAGGACACACTTTGTGGAGATTTAATATTTGGAGCACCTAGCGGGACAGCGGCTATAGCAGAAGTTCTTAAAGGCAAATGAGGAGGTTGTTTTTAAAAGCCACACAGCTTACAGGGCTTTAGACTGACGCTGAGTCTGTCTGTCATTTTTTGGCAGGTACTGCTGGCTACTGGGATCTGTTTTGCTTCCTCCCTAAACACTCACTATAAGGTGCAGGTTGTTGGACACCTCCCGGCAGGGTAAGACCCTCTTTTTCTCTCTCTCTCTGTCCTCCCCATTCTCCATGCCGGCTGAGGGTCAAGTCACCGCTGCCCTGTTGGCATGGCAACAGAAGTGCGGCTTCCAAACTCGGCCTGACCCTGGTTGTTGGGGAAGGGCAGGGCATGGTCTCTGTCCCCGGGGCACACGGTGACTCCCATTCCCCCATTCTTTCATGCAGGTTCCCACAGCCCCAGCTCCCAGCCCTGCATCTGCTGCCCCAAGTGCTGGGTGACACGGTGGCCCTCACTTTTGTGGCCTACGCCATCTCGGTGTCATTGGCCATGATCTACGCTGAGAAGCACCACTATGTCATTGACCCCAACCAGGTGTGTGTCCAGCCTGGAGAGCTCAGGGTCCCCTCAGGGTGGGGAGGCAGAACCTGGACACATTCAGTCATGGAGACTCTTCCCTTTGCTTGCCAAGCCGCCAGGCTCCCTAGCGCCTCCTGTTGCGTGGAAACAGAGTGCTGGGTTAGATGGGCCTTTGGGTCTGATCCGGAAGGGGCCTTCTTATGTTCCTGTGACCCTCCAGCTTAAAAATTGTTTTTGTTTGTAGTGGAAACTCAGCTTGAGAGTTCTTCATTTCTTGCTGGAGGCCAGGGATAGTGAACCCCTAGTCTTCCAGATGTTGCTGAACCACAGCACCTATCATCCCTGACCATTGACTGTGCTGATAGGAGTAGGAGACCCAACAACATTTGGGGAGCCACTGGTTCCCCATCCCTGCTCTGGATACACCCGCCCACCCCTTGCTTCAAGTTCAGCCGGCTAAGACCCTGCTCTCACTTTGCCTTCCTCTGCCCTCCTACAGGAACTGCTGGCTCATGGCCTCTCAAACCTGGTCTCCTCCCTGTTCACCTGCTTCCCCAGTTCAGCCACGCTGGCTACAACCAACATCTTGGAAAGTGCTGGTGGACGCACACAGGTATAAGGCTGATGTTTCGGGAGCGCTTTGGAGAGAGGTGGAGAACCTGCGCTCCTCTGGATGTTGTCTGGACTCCAGCTCCCATCATCTCTGACCATTGGCCATGCTGGTTAGGGTGGATGGAGGTTCACCAACATCTAGAGGGTCACAGGCTCCCCATCCTTGGGCTACAAATGGCCTTTCTTACCACCATCCCACTACATTTATATTTGTTGCTTGGAAATGGCAGGGAGCAAAGGGCTGGCTGCTCTAGAAAGAAAAGTGGAGGGCAAGACTGTTTCCAGCAACAGTGGGAAGGAGAGGGTTAGCCCAGTCGCTGGTTCCAAAGCATTGTCAGCCACAATGGTCCACTGGGATGAAAGCACCCTTTTTTCCTGATAGGGCTCCTTTGCCCTTTATAACTACACAGCAAGCAGTTAAATGAGACTTTTCCAGAATAAATAATAATAACATACGCGCCAACATTTCTCCGATGAAAATAGGGACGTCCTATTCAATGATGATGATGATGATGATGAAGAAGAAGATAACTACTTTATTATTTATACCCCACCAATTTGACTGGGCAAATTCCAACATATATAAAAAGATAATAAAATATTAAACATTTTTTTTAAAAAAACTTCCTTATATAGAGCTGTCTTCAGATGTCTTCTAAAAGTTTTATAGTTTCTTATCTCCTGGGCTTGGGGATTGCATAACTCCATACCCTCCAACATTTCTCCGATGAAAACAGGGACATCCTAAGGAAAAGCAGAACATTCTGGGATCAAATCAGAAACCAGGACGGCTTCTGCAAATCCAGGACTGTCCCTGGAAAATTAGGGACACTTGGAGGGTCTGTAATAATTAACAAATGTATTTTGTGAGCTGGAGGTTTAAACTAGGATAAAGTGTGCATAAAAATGCATACATTAGTGAAAATGGTGTATGAAATGCAATATATAAGGGGAAATTGTGTTGCAAAATTGTGTGTATTAGGCAAAATTGCATACAAAATCATGTATATCAGAAGAAATCACATGAAAATTTTGGTGAATTTTCACAAGGACATTTAAAATAAAAAAAAATGCAAACATGTGGAAATGTAGAGAACTGAACTTAAATGGGGAATTCCTATTCATTATACTCATATATCCAAGGCTCACCTGGGTAGCTGGAGGTCCACTCTTTAGAGTGCTCATCATTATGGGGAATACAGGTGTTTATTTGGTACCACTGGTGTTTTCTACTTTACTGGCGTTGTGCTATACTAAGGCAGAACAATGTCCCTTGGTTGCCAGTGGACTTTAAAGTCCCTTCCGTTATCTTGGTTGCAACTAACCAGCCTTCCTTGCTCACAGCTCTCTGGCCTCTTCACCAGCGCTGTTGTCCTGGTGGTCTTGCTATGGATTGGACCTCTCTTCTACTACTTACCCAAGGTGAGCTAGTTGATACTATGTGTCGGGGGGAGGATACGGGTTTATTCAAAGGGTAGCTCGTTATGCTCAGCCAATCCTGATACAAAATTAAATCGTGTGCTGTAGGCATCATTGATATATGTTGGTACCATATTTTACACATATTTTGGGTCCCCTGGGCATCTTCATTTACTTGCTGTTAGCACAAAGGCTTGACTCACATGCCATATATTATAAGCACATCTCCCATCAAAGAATCTGGGGAACTGTATTTAAAGGGTGCTGGGAATTGTAGTTCTATGAGAGGTAAACTACATTTCCCAGCTGTATTGTTTTGTTTGGTGTTCAGAAGAGACATGCTTTAAACATACAGTGTGTGCAGTCATACACTCTTGCTACACATTTTGTTTCCATGCCAGCTGCTCAGCCTGGAATTTACCTCCTTAGTTTTTATAGAGAATCAGGTGGCTATAAGTTATTGTTGCCAACCCATTTCTTCCCACTGATCTCTGCCAAATGGTAATGTACACTTGCAGCACCAGCCTGTCCAATGTGGACTAAGAGGATGCTATGGAAGCTGTTCAACGCTATTTGGCCTGTACAGTGGACACTTGTGTTACGAACGTGATCCGTGCAGGATGCACGTTTGAAATCTGCAGCGTTTGCAACCCGCAGCGGCCCATCTGCACACACGGGGGTTGCGATTCAGCGCTTCTGCGCATGTGCAAAGCGCGATTTAGCGCTTCTGTGCATGCACAACCGCCGAAACCCGGAAGTAACCCATTCTGGTACTTCCGGGTTTCGGTGTGGCTGTAACCTGAAAGAAACGCAACCTGAAGCGTCTGTAACCCGAGGTATGACTGTAATGAGAAGCTTCTTCCCTGCAGCTTCTGCCTCCTGTTCAGTGTGACTGCTCCTTAATTGTTTTATCAATTCTTGGTGAGCTAGCACTATTTCACAATAAAACATAAGAAAGGAAACACAAGATAGGAAACTGGTAATTATAGCTCCCCCCACCCACCCAGCAAAGGGATCAGGAATTAGGGCTTTATTTTTTAAACAGTCAAATGTTATGTAAATGTCATTAATTAAATTATTATATATACTGAAGGACCAATTAAGGAGGTCAGCAGTGCTGCATCCCTGCTGAACAGCAGGCCCAGGGTAGAAGAAGAAAGCTTCTAATGAAAGTTGTAAGGGGGCTTTACTGAACTGAATTTTAATTCTGTTTTGAACTAATCACAGAAAAACAGTGCCTCCGTGGTGCTCAAGAGCCGTGGTATGGAAGTAGGACAGTATGTTAAAGAGACCCCTCATTTCACACCTCTTTTCTTTCTCATGTCTAGGCTGTCCTGGCCTGCATCAATGTCACCAGCCTTCGGCAGATGTTTCTGCAGTTCCAGGACCTGCCCGAGCTGTGGAGGATCAGCCCCATTGACTTCGTAAGCCATGACAGCATCTGAGAATGGACCAGTTTCTAATCTAGCAGTTGGAAATTAAGAACTGAATATGTTCCTCCCCTATCAAAAATGTTTACATTGCTACCAGGCTTTTGCAATTGGAATGGATAGGTCCACAGTTTTCAGTAATGGTCTATAGTAGGGATGAAGAATCTTTTTTTCTCCCCCACCCATATTTTGTTGAACTACAACTCCCATCATCCCTGACCATTGGTCATACAGACTGGGGCTGATGGGAGTTGGAGTCCAGCAACATCTGGAGGGCCACAGGTTAGTCACCCCTGTCATATTGGCAGAGCCTGTGGCCCCCATCATGCCAAACAGCCATGGCACTGGGGAGCTTAATCTGAAGGCCATACGAGCCAGCTCGTTACCTCTCACAGTGAACTGGTGTGAAACTGCCTTGTGAAAGGGTCCAGTCCTTAGCCATTGTAGCTCCAGTTTTCTGAGAGGTCCTCCTGGCCTACTGTAATAGTTCCTTGCATTAGGCCAGTTTCCACCCGGACTTCACCAAGCCTGCCAGAAGAGTGTGCTTATGAGAATCAGACCTGAGTCAGCAGAGGGCAGGAGGAAAGGCTGAGCCAGTGAAGGACTGAACAGCATGATGTTCCACGCTAAGTGTCAAAGCTGGTAGTCAAAGCTGAGCAGTGCTGGTTGCGCCTCAGATCTGTCACCTCAGGTGCTCAGCTGCTCTCCTCTCAGGATTCCTTGTGATTCTATCCCACCCTTTCTCATCCATTGCAGACGTTGTGGGTGGTCACGTGGCTTTCTGTGGTCGTGCTCAACGTGGACCTTGGCTTGGCAGTGGGGGTTGTGTTCTCTATGATGACTGTTGTTTGCCGCACACAGAGGTATTTGCTTGCCTGTCCTCTTCCTCTGCTTTCTACTCTTGTCAAATGTTAGATCACGCCCAGCTGCTAGGATTAGGTCCCCTGGTTGGGATTGTGGGGGGAGCCTGCAAGGCTATAAGATTAGGGGGAGGAGCTTCTCTCTGCTGAGGGTTGCATTGCCAGTGGTGGGCAGGGTAGAGACCTAACAAGGCAGAGTCTGCAGCACTGAAAGGTTTCATACCATTCCTGCCCCCTCACTTGCTACCCCATCTCTCCCTCTCCACATCTCTCTGCTGGGGGCCACATGGAATTAAAGATGGGGAAGGGCTACGGCTCAGTGATCTTCTTTGCATGCAAAAGGTCCCAGACTCAGTCCTCAGCATCTCCAGGTAGGACAGGGAAAGACTTCCTATCTGACACCCTGGAGAGCTTCTGCAAGCCATTGTAGCCAGGATAAGGAGCCTGCGATCCGCCAGATGTTGCTGAACTACAACTCCCATCATCCCTTGCCATCTGCAGCTGATAGGAACTGCAGTTCGTCCACATCTGAAGTGCCTGAGATTCCTCGCCCATAGTGTAGACCCTTCTGTCCCTCCCAGAAACTGGAGCAGTACTAGCACAGAGGGGGAACTGCAAGGTGGGCTTCTGCCATGTGGCCTGAGGCTCCTCACATTACCCTGGTGGTGCATGAATGAGCCGTGTCACAGCAGCTCCCATGCAGCAAAGGTCCCACGAGAAGGAGCCTGTGCTGGGGGCTGAGAGGGGGCCTATGGTTCCCTACAACCTTCTGCCTCCAACCATGTTTGCTGTATGTTGGGGGAGCTGTGTCCAGATAATTGCCCATTTGCCCTTCATGTCGCTTTGTCGTTCTTACAGGGCTGAGTGCTCAGTTCTGGGCAGGGCAGGGGACACAGAGATCTACAAGCCTGTCAAGCACAACAGCAAGGTAAGAGTCGTGAGGATTAAGAGGGAGCAAACAAACATAGGAACACACGCCACGTGCATGTCTGAAATTGCAGCCCCAAAGCACCCACTGCAGGGAGCATGAATCTCAGCATTGAGATTGGTGGGGTGACTCCAGTGCAAGGGTGCCCAATCCACACTAGTTGAACACACACATGCTAATCTCTTGATAGGCTATTTATAGCACAGGTGGGGCACCTGTGTCTCTCCAGAGGCAGCAGAACTACAAGTCCTCTCATCCCTGAGCATAGGCCATGCTGGCTTGGGGTGAAGGGAGCTGAAGTCCAGCAATATCAGAAGGCTTCCCACCCATGCTTTTGAAGGATCAGAACCTGCGGGTGGGTGTGAAGTGAGGACTCATCCCACTGCTTCCCCCCTGGAAAACCTGATTACTGTTAAATCAAAACAAACGTCACTCATTTATTCCGCGGACTGAATTCAGCAGTAAACAGCAGATCTTCCCGGGGAAAGTGATGGGACAAATGAAAGCTCCGGACAAGTGGGAAACCTCTTGGACCCATGGTTTCTAGGAGAGGGAGCAAGCCTCACTGTACTCAAGGGGGCCTGCCTTTGAGGTGAGATGTGTAGGGATGTGGTGGCAACTTAGGCTGTCATTCAAACCCCACTACCTGTGTGTAAGCCCCGTTGAATTCAGTAGGACTTACTTCTGAGTAGGTTAGGTCTGTGGTTTAATAAGGATCAGAAATATTTATTACAACCATTTGTGCCCCACTTTTCACCTTTTTCGGGGAAGAAATCCTTCCTAGGATTAAACAATATTAAAATACATTTTTAAAACACACTATGAACATTATCAACATATAAAAATCCACCAGGATCCTTCCCACAACTAGTGTTCAAATGAATGGCCCTGTGGCAAGGTAGTCCTGCTGTAGCAGCCCCTGGTGCCTTCTTTGCCTGGTTCCCTCTTTCTACGGGGATCCTTCCCAGAGTTTGTGGTCAATCACTCTAGTGGGTGGTGGGGTCACTGGAGCAGGCAAAGAGACACCAAAATTCAGCACACACACCCTGCCTCTTGCCTTCCATTCTACATCGTTTCTGGTGAGAGGGGCATGGCTTGGGCAGAGACCATGGAGGCTCCATGCCCTAATTTCACCTCTGCTGTTGCTTGTCTGGATGGAGGTCTGCCTATCCATGTGGGTGTATAAGTCTCTGTTTGCCTTACATTGCCTTTGTCCACAAAGGAAGGCAGCCCTTGGGCTGAAAGAGGTTCATCACCTCTGCTTCAGCCAAAAATTTGAAAGACGATGGGGTTCGTATATTCATTTTAGGATGGGGTTAATTTTATTAACTTGGCCACCCTAGCCAGGCACAATGATGCATCTGTACCCCGTTTATCCACCCATCCCTGCTTCTTAGTGCTTTGAGATCCCAGGTGTGAAGATTATAAGCTACCAGGCTCCCATCTACTATGGGAACCGCAGCTTCTTCCGCGACACTCTGAGCCAACTTGTGGGACTCAACCAAGACGGGGAGAAGCACGAGGACCAAGCTCCAGGCATCGAGCTCAAGATGGACATCAGCACTGTGGTAATGTGGCAACCCAGGGTGGGAGGGGGGCAGAAAAGAGGGAGGGAAGTAGAGTGGAAAATTGGGAGTGGAATTCAGAATTAGCCAAGAATTAGTGCCTAAGCTTGCTTGCATTTTTCCTCTTCCTTTTGTGTGGAGACTGGTCAACTGTGAGCCTGAAGGCAGGGACATCTTCTCACTGATATTCATAAGCCACTCTGGGAACGCTTTCCCAGCTGAAGAGCAGGATAAAAATATTAGTCATAAATAACAGAATCAAGTTAACACAATTCTTGCTAGTCAGAGTGGGAGCCAATGGAGTTGGCCTCCATCCGTCTTGGGAGATAATGGAGGAGTTTGCCTTTCGGGGAGAACTCAGACTGTTGCAAGGCTGCAGCACCTGCTGTGGCTGTAGAGACTGATACAGGACAAACATGTTTTGTTGCAGCTGGGGCAGATGAAGGCGTCCATTGATGTTGCTGCAAATGCACCATGGCGTTTCTTCTCTCTGCGCTTCTCTCAGCAGTCATTCCTCCTCTGGTCACTGCTATATCTCCATGACCTGTCTCCAGGCACTGTGGTCATCTGCAAGGGATTCCCACAGCATGGGGTTGATGTTGCCAGCCTTCATGCCACGTTTGCAGACATCTTTGTAACCCAGAGTTGTCCCCCAACAGGCCTAGTGCCGGAAGCCAGCTCCTTGGAAGACAATTCTGTACTAGATACAGACCACTTGATTCAGTAGAAACAAAGAACTAAGCAAGGCCTATTGAGCCACGGACCAAACAAGGTTTTGCTCTAAAGCAGAGGTTTTAAAATAAATATAAATTAAATGAACAAACCCAAGGCTGGAGATGTTTTCACTTTGTCTGGAGTTTAAATTCTTCTCACCTAAGTGGAGATTAACTGCTGTTTTTCTTCCTAGGAGAGCAATGTCTCTGTCCTGGACAAAAAGCCTGGCTCAGGTAAGCAAAGGGCAATTGCCTTCCAGTTCCTGGTAAATCTTGCTTAGTCAACATGCATTTTGAACTCTGCAAAGCGGAAAGCTGCTTAACTGCCCCTTTCCTGTATTCTGCTGAGGATACTGAATGAGTGTGTGTGAAAGAGACTTGCCAGGAGTGTTTTTTCCTATGGAAGGACCAAGTTCCATTCACTTCTGGTACTCAGAAGAAGTTCCTGGGTTCAGAATTCATTAGTGCTCTCTCCCTCTCTGTGTTTGTGTGTGTGTGTCTTGCACTTGGTTCTGGATAGTGGATCTTGGCGTTCCTGTAAAAATCAAATTACTTCTTGTAAGCCTTCAATCTTCCCACCTTTGAGCAAAATGCTGGATGTCGTGTTTAGCTACACTAGACTGGTGTGGCAGGAGTTGATAGGCAGGTTCTCTTCTGTGGACATAGAAAGATGCTTTACACTGAGTCAGACCACTGGCCCATCTGACTCAGTATTGTCTACACTGACTGTCCGCTGCTCTCCAAGGTATCAGATAGTAGTTTCTTTTCAGCCTGATTGGGAGATGCCAGAGGACTGAACATGTTGGGCTGGGCTGAAGAAAACAGTTGTGATTGTGCAGCTGCAACAGTTTCCCATATGGAAAATGAGATTTATGTTTCCCCTGTGAAAACTGGTTGGAGATGGGAATGCTTCTGAGCATGTGCAGAGCAAATTGTCATTGATGCTGCTGGGCTCTGCCTGTTGGATTCATTGCAGATTGTGGTCTGTCTACTTTGCTCTTCCAGGCACGTCAGTACAGGCTGTCATTCTTGACTGCAGTGGAGTGTCCTTTGTGGACGCAGCTGGAGCCCATCTACTTATTCAGGTACAAAAGGACACATATGTATGCGTACAAGGAATGAGGTGGCGCACTTGCCATCAAAAAGTCTGGGTGCTGAGACTATCTGGAAGCCAAGCTCCCAGTCTAGATTGCCTGCCTTGTTTTATTTATTTCACTTGTATTCTGCTCTTCCTCCAAGGAGCTCAGGGCTTAACCTGACTGATTGTTAAATGCATTTTTTGCATTTAATGTGCAGGGTGTTTTATTGTTTTAAATGCAAACAGCATCCACCCAGGTAGTGGAGCTGTTATAATGTGGGCTAAAGAGGGAGCAACATAACCTTTCTGGCAATCCCTCCTAGTTGCATTAGGAGGAAATTATTCCATTAGTGCCAAGTCCAGTTTGACTCTGAGAGTAAGTTTCATCTGGCTGCCATGTGACTTCCCACTTAGGAAATCTTTAGAAAATTCAGGAAATGGACTGCTGCCTGAGCATAGGCGTAGTCAGGATTTATGTTGTGGGGGATAGAACGAAGATATCTGTAATGCAATTGGTCAATTAGTTAAGTATTTATTTACTTGATCAGCTGCCCCCCTGCACCCACTAAGCTACGTCCATGTGCCTCAAGCAAAGGGCAAGGTGGTTCCCCACCTCTATCCTCATTCCTCGTACAGGAGTCAACCAGGCTGATAGTTCAAACTTACTGCAACATTGATGATGGAATAATATCCTCTACTCTGTCCAAGGGTAACAGGCTAGCTTAGGCAGCACAAGGTGGGCAAAAAGGCACATACAGCTCTGCCAACCAACATGTTGCCACTACTCTTTGTCTGTCAGCATTTGCTGCCTGAGGCAGCTGCCTCACTCTGCCTAATAGTAGGGCTGGCTCTGATCTGATCAATTTGTCAGCCAATGTTGTTGGGACCACAATTCTCGGTCAGTTCAAGCACAACCCTTGTTTAAGTTAGATCTTTAAACTTACAGGTAGGTGAACAAACTTTGAGCAGCCGTGTCCCTAAGGATCTGTATTGAGTCCAAGGATCTGTATTGAGTCCAATGTAACTTACCAATGAACAATTTGGAGTCAAGATTTTCCATAATGGAATCAAAAACAGTAACACAGACATGATAGATCCCAAAATGTATTACAGAAATAGTTCCCCTGCCCCCCCCCCAGTTGTGCAAATATCAGTAGCAAATTAGAAGATCACAGCATAGCACCAGGGACCTAGCTATAATCACCGAGGAAGCTTGCAGTTAAAAGGCAATGTTTGCAATTCTCTAGTAATGGCTTCCTGTGTCTTGCAGGTGTGTGTAGAATGCCAAAAGGCAGGCATGCAGATACATTTGGCTTCCTGTAATGGTAAGTGAAATTAGAGGTGCCACCAGACCTCTTTATTCCCCCATTGATTTCCCGTTGGTTGTTTTTAAAATGAAGTTGCACGTATATAAAGAAAGAATGTGTGCTATGTTCTGTTCTGACATATCTTAATATTGCATGGTTGTTATAATATAGAAAGATTAAAATCAATATATTTAAAAGGCAGATTGTCCCAATGCACACATTACCCAGAAGCAAGCCTGGGCTTACCACCAGCTGTACACTCAAGCAGGGAGCGGCCGATTGCAACCCCTGGAAAGTAATCTGAGATGTGCATCTGATGTGCTTTCTGTATGAGTCCTTCTGCTGTCTCTTCCTCAATCAGCCACTTCAGCCTGCATGACTGAGGGCCAAACTAGAGGAGGCAACAGAGATATGTGATTGGGTCTCCTGTTTTCGTTTCTCTACATTTTTGTAAAAAACAGCAATGGGGGTACCCAATTCACATCAAAAACATAGCATGGCGGTAGCACTCCCTATGGGAGCAGATGACATGGGGGGGTTGTTGGGGGAAAAGTGCAGGGGAAATGGCCATTCCTGGTGCTGTAATTCTGCTCTGAATAGCTATGGGAAGGGACAAGCTTTTACAGAAATATAAAGAAATGGGAAATCCATCCACAGCTCTGTCATCATCCTGACATAGGCCACATCCATACCATGCATTTACAGCACATTGCTTCCCTCAATGAATTTTGTGCCCTGTAGTTTACCCTTCAGAGCTGCAATTCATAGAAACGTAGAACTGTAGAGTTGGAAGGGACCTGGGGATCATCTAGTCCAACCCTCTGCAATGTAGGGATATGCAGCTGTCCCATACGGGGATCGAACGTGCAACCTTGACATTATCAGCACCTCCCTCTGACCAGCTGAGTTATCCATTCCTAGCAGCATAACAAATCACCATTGCCAGAATAACTTAGGGGAAGCCACAGTTTAAAGGTTTGGTGTGGATGTGGCCATAGTTAGGCCCAAGACCCAAAGATCAGAAGTGCATGCTCCCCTCTTGACTTGCCACTGAATATGTGAACTGACTCAGTTGAGGAAGCCTTGCATACAAAATGAGAGGTAAATCCTGTTTGCAGTAGTTTGGAGGGGTGGTGTCTTCCTCACACATGCAGGTCACCCCTCGAGGAACATGCGCCTGTAGAATCAGACCTCACCCATATCCATTTATTTCCTCCTTTCCATTTAGCCGGTGTTTTACAGACCTTGAGGTCCTGTGGCCTTCCCCATCATCTTCCCCCACAGCAGATTTTTGTCACTGTTCACGATGCGGTTTCCTACCTTCAGCAGACTATGGTAAGAGGCTGAGGGTGCAGACAGACAATCGGTGAGCCTTTGCTCTTGCTGGCTGCAGGCCTGGCCCCTCTGGAACCAGCTTTGCAGCCCTGGGGAGGAGAGGGCCTTACTTGGGAAATAGCTCCGTTTTCCCCAACAGCAATTGTGGGGTCATGGCTGTACCCATTGAGACTGAAAGTATAAACTCTTATCGCTGAAATATTCCCAAGTGAAAAAGCTTTTTCTCCATGTCCAGCCTAGCCTTCTCTCTGGCATGGCCATTTTCTATGTGCAGGGAAATTATTTTTCTATGTGGGAGCATTCCATCAATTGAACCCCCCACCTAAATGGACTAATCCAGACACAGATTTACCACTGAGCCTTCCCCTGGGGGCTTCAATGGAGGTTTATTGTGGAATCAGTGCTGTCCACATATGCAAGTTTCCCACACTATCTACGTGGCCTTCCCATCATCAATACCTGTACTGTTTTTAAACATTTAATCTGGATTTTTCTCTGACTGCAGGAAATTTGTTAAGTAACATTATAAATCTACAGTCACCACTGGTGTGGAAACCCATCAATGAATTCCCTGCAATAAAAATGTGTGTAGGGTGATGTTGGGGTGGGGAGTCTCTATTGCCATACACCTGCAGCTCTTTGCTCCTCACCTGAGCACAAGCTACCCACTCTTTCCAGTGGCCAAAATGATATTTGTATGCCTATTTTCAAGCATTTTCATGAAGGCATGTTGGAATTTCAACAACCCAGTTTACAGCAGCTATTCTCAAGATCCCCAAAAAAGATCTCATGGTGTGGGGGATTACCTGGGAGTCTGTATTATCAGGCATTTAAAAATTACTGTTTCAAACAGAGGTCTTAGGTAAGACCTCTTTATTAGAGTATCAGTATAGCTAAAATGTCATTATTGTGCAAGGCATGGGTAATAATTTTTAAAAACCCACCAAAATGGAAATGGGGCCCAGCCACCTCATCCCCCAAACACAAACCTCCATTGTGAAACATAGTAACTAAGGGGCGGGAATACTTGCTTGTGCACATTTTGTACCTTTTTTTTTTAAAGTACACATGCGAAGTATCTGAAAAGGTAGTGAAGCATTGGGGGGGGGGCAGAACCAGCAGTGCAGAAACATTTCTTCAGTGAGTGCCCATGCGTGTGGGCAGGAAGCAATGGAACACTTATGAAAAGTAGAAGAAAAAGTACAGAAGTGTGGCAACCACAAAATGAAAAAACAACAACCCACGTCTCAGCCACCCACTTAGTAGATATTGCACCAATCCAGATGCATACCCTTTTCAGGGGAAAGTGGCTTTGGCTGGTTGACAGCTTGCTTTTCATTTTGCAAGCTATTTGTTACGAGGTACCTCTTGTAGTAACGTTTAAAAAATGAGAGTTCTTTCTGGTCCCCAAGCAATCCCACATCTGGGCTCTGTGTCCGTCTGGAGCTGGAGCCTTCTGTAACAGGAGCAGCCAAGAGGGGGTCCTCCAGCTGTTGCTGGACTACAAAATTTCTGACAGTGGGACATTCTGGTAGGGGATGATAGGAGCTGTCGTCCACATCAGGACAGCACACTGGCTATCCCCGTTCTGCAGAAATAGCAAGGGAGCTGGTGGTCTTTCTTCCATTCCTAAAGAGCATACACTGAGAAGTGTGTGGGTGCCTTACCATTCCAGTCTCTTTCAATCCATGCGTTACAGGAGGGATAAGAACAGCCTCTATAAAGTCTGCTGCTCACTGCTTCACAGTACCATTAATACAGCATGTTTAAGGTGTCCAAGGCACTTGACATACATTATCCCAATCCTTTCTGCAGCCATCATGCACCTATATTGCAGATAGGGGCTGAGGCAGAGAGACTAGTGAGCAAGGGTGCCTGGGAGAGTCCTGTTATACAGTATACAGCTTCATGCAGAATTCTTTCTTTTTTCTTTCCCTGCTCAGGAAAGTACGGAGATGAAGGACCCAACCATCTGGGTGTAACTGCCTCTGTATCAAATCAATCCATGCGTACCAGGACAAGGACTAGCTGAGATCACAGAAATGCTAGAGGCAGCTGGCTGCCTCGGAAACCAACAAGGCCCTGTCTGCTATAATGGAGGGCTGTCCTATCAGGAATGGACAGAGAGACAGAAGAGAAAGGAGGCAGCAGGACAAGACAGAAGCTCCTTCTCTTGCCAAGACCTCTTTGGCCAGTTGTGGTCTGTATTCATCTACCACCACACTAAAGGAGGGTTTGATTTGCACTCAATCCTATTCGATCTCCATCTCTTCTGGGCCCTTGTCAAAAAGTTTCGATACACCAACAACCAGAGATAATTTTTTTTATTGAAAAAACCAACACCAAAAAAACCTTTATTCCCTTCCCCAAATTGTTTCCTTTATACAGGGAAAAAAACGTTTGAAGTAACCACAGGTAAAGTCATTGCCAACAGGAAAGGGACAATAAGCTCGTAAGATGAAAGGAAAGGAGCAGCCGCAAAACAGCAGGTGGCATCCAGCTATGTTTTACTCAAGAGTACACCCATGGAAATTTATGGGCCTAACTTCATCATGTTCTTTAACTTCAGTGAGTCTGCTCTGAGCAAAAGTTAGTGGACTTCTACTCAATGTGAGTGAAAGGGCTGTGCAGCCTGGAACGAGAGGTCTCGTTATAGCTGCAGCAGCCCCCACAGCTGGAAGCAAACAGGACAGGAGGATGGGGAGGTTGGAAGATATTATTTCATGCAAAGGCTAACACACACCCCAATGCTGCCACTGAAGAACTTGCTTGCCAAATCTACAGCTAGCCACCCTAAAGACTGATAAACTGCCTTTCCCTCCTCATGTGGTTGGGCAGTAAGGCAACGCTGCAGGGCTGTTGGGAGAAAGTCAGGAATGGGGATGATGTTCACCTCCTGGGCAGCCTCCCTCAATGAGGAGGGGTTCTGCTTTTAGTTTTAATTCTCCTTCACATCAGTATAGTTGACTAGTATAGTTGACAGCCTAGTATGATCTGAATTCATGCCATGTGTACCAAACTAAGCATTTGCTTGTTTAGGCTGAATTAGGAACAGGCTGTAAGCTTTCCAGTAATAGTTCCAAATCAATATGTCAACATTTTGAAAATAACTCTTGCTGTATTTGAAAGTGTTGTGGGGTGGGAGAATGTGTAGGGGTTGAATCACTGCCCCATTTAATAAATAAATAAAGTGGCATGACAGCAAGAGAGAGAACCCATCTTATTTACATATCAATATGTATGCTAAAACTAAAGGGGCTTCACCTGCCCTACTTTACATAGGGAGAGCAAGTGAAAGATTCAGTGCCTTACCTTTTAGCATGTGATTCTGCTGAATGGATAAACAGAGATGAGAGACTTGCTTCTGAGTTAACAGTTGTGCTGTAAGTCCAACTACGCTCAACAGGGCTTACTTCAGTTTTGAATGGGACTTCAGCAGCCTCTGTTACAGCCAACTGACCAATCTAGCAAATGCCTTATTTGAGACCCAGTTCTATACCAATATTCTTGAAACTGTGATCTAGCAACTCAGACATAATGCATCATCCTGGAACAAGAAGCAACTCTATAAAAAGCAAGAGAGTTAGGCTGGAGGGGGAAGGTAGGTAGAAGGAAAAAACTAAGCATCAATTCTTTACCTACTGAGGCCATTGCTTATCTGATGGTTGTGGCAGAAAAGCACAAGAACACTCTCAGGAAAGCAACATGTTCCCCCTTCTGAAGAAGAGCCATTTGCTCTGGGTCTATTGACATGACCAGAGGGAACCTTTAGGTCGTGGAGAGAGAGAGAGAGTGTGTGTGTTTGGAGGAAGGGGGCGCTATGGTAGTACAACAAATATATTTGAACTTCACAGCTAAAGGGCAGTGATCATCAGTCCTGCTCCAACCACATTGACTCTTGCAATTTCCATCTCTGTCCCCTCAGCATCACTCTCCCTGCTGCAGAAGTGCTTCAGTGCCTAGAGCTGATTGGCTAGTGCTATGATTGCCTCTCTGTCTCAACACCTCTGCAGTCAGTTGCAGATGAGCACTTCGTAGCCAGGCTGCCAGGAAGGAGTGCACATCATATGGGGGATGGGGTGGGGAAAGCGTGTCATATAACAGAGTGGTCTTAATGGCTGCTGCTTACTTGCTGTAGGACCAATCCCATGCATAGGACCTAAATATGCAGGAGAAACTAAACCCAGCCCTGCTTCATAAGCATTTCACACCCCCAAAAACAAGCAGCAGCTGTAGGAAGAACAGTAATACCAATTACGCAATTGGGACCAAGAAGGCAAAAGGAAGCAGGGTTCAGGGATATGGGGGGAAAGACTTGTCAAATGGATTTTGTCTGAAATAAAAACATTGCAGTCTGTTGTACACAAGTCTGCCTTCTTCAGCATATAAAAATCCTGCCCCATTAGAAAATCAGCTCCCAGCTCCCACCCCACTGTCTATGAACACAGGCCACTTCTTCTGCAGGAGTGGACAAACCTGAACTTGTCTGGAGTTTTGAGTGTGCTGTTTTATGGCCCCTGCTGTCCTCCTTTTCTGTTGCTTTGCAGCAATTTATACCTCAAAGCTTCCCCCTGGTGGCTGCTTTCCATCACTGTAGTCTTTGGCACTTCAAAATGTCCCAGGATGGCACCAGCTTGAGGATGTGTGAGGGAAAGGAATTGGGAAGAAGGGAGCACAGATGTAAAGACTTGGCACAAACAGTTGTGGCACTGGATAAAGTATTGTGTCTGTGTGTGGCGAGATGCAGGGGGAAGCCCAGAAAAAATTGTGGTTGCTTCCAACTAGGAAAGAAAGAAAGTTAACTTCCAGCGCTCTCAAGTATCACACCCCATCCAAGATTCTCCAGTTCAGAGACGTAACAGGGCGAAACAAACACAGGAACAGGTCACATCCTCCTGACCACTAAGGCTCAGAATCAAGCAATAGCACAGTCTCTCCATCCTGCTAGAAAAGACATTTTTTCTTTTTTTAAAAAAGTGGTCATGGCTGCCCATTTCCCAAACTGCTCTTTAAGCCTGAGGCTGCTGAGGCCACCCTGAGTTCTGGGGGTTTGGCTAGCTGACAGACAAGGCCATTTGCCTGGGGCTTTGGCCAATTGCCAGAGCAGGCTGCCTGAGATTGGTAAACCCAATTGCCTGAGGACAAAGCCAGTTGTCAGGGGTGAAGCTAAACTCATTAGCACCAGAGACTAGTTGCCGGTCATGCATTTGAAACGGTTCTTGAAGTAAAAGAAGCTCTGTTTGGTGGTCAGGCTGTTGTCACTTGAGTTGGGATAGCGGAATTTGGCATACTGCTTCTCACTGTCTGTCTTTAGCCATGGCAGCTTAAGCTTTGAGGCGTGGTCCACCACCACATCGGAACAGGAACCGACATGCAGAATACCCAGGCCATCAATGAAGAATTCTGGAGAGAGAGAGAGAGAGAGAGGAGGAGGAGGATTAGCACGGTCTTCTGGATTTTAGCCAGGAAGCCCTCATGCGGCCAAAAACCCAGCTTAGTCCAGATATGGTCACTGGTCCTAAATTATGCTCCAAGCACCCACTGCACTCACAAGGGGTCCCGAGTACATCACTTGACTTGTACACTGCATACACTTTCCCCCGCCGCCTTGTACAAAAATGCCACCCCTAGAGTTAAGCCAATGCTCCTTGCCTACACATGCGTAGCACCACTTGGACTGTGCCAGCATGACTCACCGAGGTGGGCAACACGACTGAGGCGAGGGTCAAAGCCAACCTGCAGAACCTTCTCGGTGCGTGCCAGGAAGAAGTTGATCACACCATCAGTAACCACGCAGTCAGGAAAACCTTCAATGACGTGATGGTAACCCTGGCGGATGTGCAGACAATCTCCATCTTCACCACCAGCTTGCACGCTGATCTGCTGGCGGTATGTGGTGGTGTAGCTGGTGATCTCTCGCACTGCTCCACCCACCTGTGAGGCACAAGAGAGGACATTTGGGATAGATGCAGAGATGGAACAGGGTTTGGGCCAGACATACAAGGGACAGTCTCTATTGGCACAGACGTGTGGATTTACGCAAGAATTGGCCTTGAGGGTCTTAGACCAAATGCTGCCTGCTTCCCAGAGGTGCAAAAATGGCAACCAAAATTATCAAGGAATAGAGAAGTTCCCCCATGGTCCCCCTCAAGACCATAGAAACAATTGTGCTGGATCAGACCAAACGCCCATGTAGTCCATCATCCTCTTCTCAACCAGATGCTATGGAAGCCCACAAGCAAGACAGGAGCACAACAGCACTCTCCCCACTTGGCTTCTCCAGAAACCAGTATTCAGAGGCATACTGCCTCCAATGCGGGAAGATCAGTAAACACACAAATGATTTAAAACACCTGAAAATATATAAAAACAATTCTTAATACAGATGCCGACTGGGAAAGATCTATACTTAAAAAGTTTGTTGGAAATAGGAGCCAACTTCAGCCTAATTTAGACTAGGTTCCTTCCTTACTGGCTCTCCCTACAAGCCTGATTTGGACGTCAGACTGTGACATGTCCCCAGCCCTGCCGCTGTCCCCACAGATCCCTTCAAGTGTCATGGCTGTCAAGGGGCCCCATTGCGAGCAACTTTCTCCAATTCTAGAAGCGGCATTTTGCTGCCATATTGTATAACAGGTATTAGAAGGTTTGGCTGGAGAGATGTCAGTCCGCCTCTTCAGACCAAGGATGGAGAACCTGTGGCCTTTCAGATGCTCCTGGACGCCCACTCTCATTATCCTGCTGGCACAGCTGATAGGAACAACATTTGGAGGGCCACATGTTTGTCACCCATGAAAGAAATGGGGAACAGGAAAAGCAACTACAGGAAAGGCACTCACCAGATCCAGGGTAGTTTTCTCAAGGACATCTACCAGCTTCTCCACTTTGGTGCGATGTGTGAAGATGAAATCATCATCCACCCACAGAACATATTTTGTGGTCACTTGGGAAATGGCAAGGTTTCTGCCGGCAAACCAGCCCTAGAAAAGGAGGGAAAGTTCTGCAAGCACCATTCACAACACTGCTAATGTCATTCCCCTTGCCCCAAAGTGAAACATAGCCATCTTGCTTTGCCATGAAAGCATCTTACCATTTAATATCATGAGCTCAATCACTGGGCACCATGCTTCTCCTTGGGCTCCAGGAACCCAAGTGTTGCTTCTCCCTCCCTAGACCCCTGGCTAGTAAATAGTTTTTCATTCTACATTGGCAACTAGGGGGTCAGGTGGTTCCCTACAGAGTCCCAGATGAGACTTGTAGGTCTCCAGTGGTTGATCCCCATACTGTTCTCTACCAGCTATAGCACTTTCTCCAGCCTGGGGTTACCTCAGCACTGTGACCTTATTCAGCTACTACTCCACTCCAGTCACCATGTACCATGAATACAATACTGCATCCTTGTATTCCATATTCTAGTAATTCACATTGCTACCCCAGTGTTGTAATCATTAATGTGGACTAGGCTCATGTACAAGAATACATTTAAACTCTTTACTCATCCTGATTGTTAGTGTAGATACAGTTAATGTGCGATGAGGAGTTAACTGAACTGGTGAGAGGATTCCCACTCATCCCCCATCATGAATTCTGGAACACAGAAAAGTGAAATTCCCCAAGGGAAAGTGACAGTGGAGTTTTCCCTTCTTAGTAGGTGTCAATTAGCCCCATTCCACCCCCATCTCTACTTCAGGAGCCTGACCCCAGAGCTGGTGGCCCTTAGATAGCACATCCCAATGGAACCCAGCAGGGATTCAGAAATGTGCCTGAGGCTTCCCACAGCTAGTCTCCACACCTTGCCAAAGGGCATAAAGTACTGTTCAATGTGGGGTCCCTGCACATGTTCAGGGGTCTCGCTGTCATCAGCAATGATGATGGTGACGGTGGGATAAAACTTGCGGATGCTGCTGATCAGTGTTCGCAGCTTGTCATAGCGCAAAAAGGTCTTCGTTGCTATGGTGACCAGGGCACTGATGTCGTATTCTGCAGAGGAAACACAACACAGGAGAGGTTGGAAAGGTTCTGCTGAGGGATGGCTCAGAGGGAGTGGCTTGAGAAGCCTGGGGCAGAAATGGATATCCTTCACGGTTTCCAATGTTGAGATTAAGAGAACAACTCATCCAGCAGCTATCTGCTCATTTAGAGGACTTCTATATTGCCTTATAGCAATGCTTCCAGGTTGGTTTCCAAGGAAGAAGGCACCAAAAAGACAGATAGAAATGAAACAGCGAGGGCACCAGGTGAACCACTCAGGAGAGAGAATTCCACAAGGGCAGCACCACAGCTGAACAAGCACCATGGTATCCAACTCTGTTGCAGTGGGTTCTTGGGCTACTAGAGAGCAAGAGATACCTTGAAAAGACATGCTCCTAAACACAATGCTTACTATGAACCAGGATAACTATAAACTAGTTACATGACTCCTGAGCATGGTTACCGCTGCTCTAAGCTGTTGCCCTTAACATATAGCACACAAGTGGGGGTGGCACGCAGGTGGCAGTGGTGGCATGCAGCCCTGTGCAGGGCTTCATCTGAGCTCTCCCCTCAAGGTCCGTGGTGAAAATCAGAACTTAATCCTGGAACAATTTGAGACCAAAAAAGACGAGAGAATCTCTAAGGATGTGATGAGGACAAAGACTGGGGTGGGGTAGAGTGTTGGGGAAAGGAAAGACTCTTACTTCTGATCATCCCAGTCTGAAGTTGGACACAGCAGATGGGCTCGAAGGCCAGGCCTTCCCTTGGAACATTTGTGTGCTAGACACCTCATGTGTAGTACTCACCGCCACTTGCTCCTCTACTGGAGGGTCCTGGATTGTAGAGCTTGGGCGTAGGCGCATGGCGGATGCGGATGATGAAAGATGCATGGTGCTCATCGGTAGAAAACTGCACTGGAAAACAGAGGAAGGAGCAGAACACCAGTCTAGAGCTGTAAGCACTTGAAAACGATGCTAACACCACTGGACGTGTTTCTGGCCTGAGAGCTCTGGTGCAGCAAGCTAATTTTAGACTGAGCTTAATGTTCTTTAGATGATAATGTGCATTACTCCAAAATGTGGCAAGCTAGCCCTGCTGCACTTGAGGGGCCCTTCTGAGTGGTAATCTAGACTTCAAAGACTCTCTGCTACAAAGGCCTTTTCTGTGTGAGTCACTGGCTGTGGGCTGATATTTCTCTACCATTCACACACATAGTACGAACTGGTACATTCTAAGGACCAAGAGTTTGAGGTGGCCAGACCCAGATTTTAAAAATCTCACCTCAGCAATGACCTTGGTGGCTGCCTTTATCCAAACCACTGTCTCTCCTCAGCACTCACCCTTCAACTATAATATGGGGATAACAGTTTAGGTCTGAAGTTTCTGTTGAC